TCCAGTTAACACTTTCAAGCCAGATTTCAATTCCACGACGGAAGACATCCGGCTCACAAAATTTGGCGAAAGGGGCCATCATTCATTTAAAGGAAATTTACAGCACAACTTAAGTCAAGAAAAGTTGTCTGTCAACAAACAACTTTCCAATTTCATTCAGAGTCTATTTCAACTTCGCAGCGAAGAAAATTGGACTCGAAACGACACAATTAGCTCGAGAGTAGATTTCAACTTCACGACGAAGGATATCTAGCTCAAGGCCAAACTTTACAACGAATGGGTCATCTATGGTTTCAACTTCATGACGAAGGGAATCGTGTCCACCCGCAACATACAATACTTGGAAGGATATTCAAGTCAGGGCTCAACTTCACAACGAAAGGGCCATCCACGATTTCAACTCCATGACGGAGGATATCGTACCCACACACCCGCGATTTCAACTCCACGACAGAGGATATCGTGCCACTCGAGACAACACAAGTTCAACTTCACGACGGAGGGACCGCTGGTTGTCAATAAACAATTTCCCAATTTCAACTTCGCAACGAAGGATATTGGACTCCAGACAACACAAGTTCAACTTCACGACGAAGGGACCGCTGGTTGTCAATAAACAATTTCCCAATTTCAACTTCGCAACGAAGGATATTGGACTCCAGACAACGCAAGTTCAACTTCACGACGAAGGGATCGCTGGTTGTCAATAAACAATTTCCCAATTTCAACTTCGCAACGAAGGATATTGGACTCCAGAAAACGCAAGTTCAACTTCACGACGAAGGGACCGCTGGTTGTCAATAAACAATTTCCCAATTTCAACTTCGCAACGAAGGATATTGGACTCCAGACAACGCAAGTTCAACTTCACGACGAAGGGACCGCTGGTTGTCAATAAACAATTTCCCAATTTCAACTTCGCAACGAAGGATATTGGACTCCAGACAACGCAAGTTCAACTTCACGACGAAGGGACCGCTGGTTGTCAATAAACAATTTCCCAATTTCAACTTCGCAACGAAGGATATTGGACTCCAGACAACGCAAGTTCAACTTCACGACGAAGGGACCGTTGGTTGTCAATAAACAATTTCCCAATTTCAACTTCACAACGAAGGATATCAGACTCCAGACAACGCAAGTTCAACTTCACGACGAAGGGACCGCTGGTTGTCAATAAACAATTTCCCAATTTCAACTTCACAACGAAGGATATCGGACTCCAGACAACGCAAGTTCAACTTCACGACGAAGGGACCGCTGGTTGTCAATAAACAATTTCCCAATTTCAACTTCACAACGAAGGATATTGGACTCCAGACAACGCAAGTTCAACTTCACGACGAAGGGACCGCTGGTTGTCAATAAATAATTTCCACGGTTTCAACTTCACGACGAAGGGAATCGTACCGACCAAAGACCTTCGAGTTCGACTACGCTCAGCTCCAAGGCACATCATTTGCAGCATAGCTTAAGTCGAGAAGGGCTATCTGCCAAAGACCTACGAGTTCGACTCCGCTCAGCTCCAAGGCATATCATTTGCAGCATAGCTTAAGTCGAGAAGGGCTATCTGCCAAAGACCTTCGAGTTCGATTATACTCAGCTTCGAAGACACATCATTTGCAGCATAACTTAAGTCGAGAAGGGTTATCTGTCAACCGAAGACCTTCGAGTTCGATTACACTCAGCTCAGAGGCAAACCAAGTTTAGCTCAAGGCAAGAAGAGCTATATGTCAAAAAATTGTCGAGTTCGATTCCAATCAGCTCGATGGCACCTCAATCACACTAGTGTCCGGCTGCAATCGAGGTTTTCAAGTCGAGAAGAAGACCTGGTTAACCGTGCCTTAGTGACAAGAAATTGTTTTCCGGCATCATAGCTTAAGTCGAGAAAAGCTATATGTCAACGAAGACCTTTCGAGTTCGGTTTCATTCAGCTCGAGGGCCTATCAAACACATGGTGGAGTCAGAGAACTACTTTACAGACAAATTTTTTAACCAAGGTCTTTAAACCGAGAAGAAGACCGAAGTTGACTACAATTGGGCAACAAGAAGCCGCATCCCGATTCAAATTTCGAACTACGGTTTCAATTCCATATTATTTCGAGATGGACTCGACTTCGCGACGGAGGGGTCATCCGCAGCTCAATTCGACAGGGAGTTATTCTTCAACTCTACCGAGCGAAAATTTGTGTCTTTTTATCTTTGTCCTATTTTTCGTTCCACGAAAAAGGACAAAGAGGGGCAGCTGTAGACACTCATTTTCACCCGAATTTGAGTTTTTTTTTATTTTTATTTATTATAGGCATATATACGATAATATAGTATAATTTTTTAAAGTGTTTTTGAAAAATATAACATATAGTTTTCAAAAAACGGTTTCCGAAAATATATATATAATATAGTTTTTTTAAAACGTTTTTGAAAACTTATATACAATATATAAGTTTTAAAACATTTTGAAATCATTTTGAAAATATAATGTATAGTTTAAAAAAACATTTTTGAAAAATTTATATAATATATTTTTAAAAATATATAATTTTTTAAAACTTATATATGGTATATAGTTTTGAAAACGTTTTTAAATATAATATATAGTTTAAAAAATATTTTTTTGAGATATATATATTATATAGTCTATATTATTATTAGTATTTTTATTTTTATTATTTCTTTTCATTTTATTCATTTTATTCATTTAATTTCATTTATTCTGTTTTGTGGTCCAGGTCCAAGATTGGGTCTAAGAGAAGTCCACTGTTCGGGTCCAATATGTTTGGGGCCTGAACTAGCCCAAACCCTACAAATTAGGGTTTACACATCCAAGCAACAGGCGCCGCATGGGGAGTTACCCAGTCAAAGAGGAGAACCGGCCGGCCGGGAAAACCGGGTTTGCACCATCCCGGGATTCCCGGCCACGTGAAGCAATGATAGGCCCGAAAGGTACGGGAACAACCCCGTTATCACCGGAAATAGCCCGTGGAGGGCGGAACATATAGCATTAGTGGTGGGTATAAATACCCACCAAGCCACGGTACTCGGGGGAGGGAACAACCAAACAGTAAATCGACCATCACCAAGAGGACATTAACAGTACAGTAAACCAAGAGGAGGAAACACGGCCAACAGAAAATACCCACACAACAGAGAGTCATCGAGAACCAAGAACCACAATACACAACCCACGAACCAGATCATCATCAAGCCACTGTGAGTACACCCAGAACAGTCGAAATGACCGAGAACCAAGGACGGAGCAACACAATAAACCAACAGAACCAGCTAGTCAATCAAGCAAACAACGAGCCAATACAACCGAAGCCCATAACCAGAAAACAGTAAACAAAACATCATACCCATCATCGAGAGATCAACACATAATCATCAAAATAAACCAAAATAAAACCAGAGCGAGAAAAAGAGAGATCACCACCGTGCGAAGCAGCGGGAACGCCAAAAGTCACCGGCGGCTCGGGTTTTTTCTGAAAAGGTATTTCCTAGATCTACACGTCTAGGGACGTTTTTTGGTGAAACTAACTTGGTTTTCAGGTCAAGGGTGAGAGATGGCGTCTTTTGGGTGCGTTTGGGTTAGTTCCGGCCATCGGCGCCGTCGTGCGCCGTCGTAGCTCCGCTTTGGTTCTCTTCCCCGATGAGGGGAAGTTGAGAGAGTCTGAACTCTCTCTCCCCTTCTCTTTTCTGGAAGCAAAGAAGAAATGAGGAGAATGCAAAGGAAAAAGCCTTTTCGAGCTTAAATATTCGAACAAAAAACGGTGTCGTTTTGCTACCAAATGAAACGACGCCGTTTGGCCTCTACCACCCGTGTTTTCAGGAATTTGGGGGAAAACCGCACATTTGGTCCTTCATTCCCTGTAATGTTTTTGTTTAGTCACTGAATGAAGTTTTAATTTTCTATTTCAGGCGTGCATCTTTCAATAGTTATATTTCTGTCACTAGTGGTTTATTTTATCATAATTGCATATGTTTCATGTTGGTCATAATATTTTAAGTTATTTCATTTTAGTTCCGGTTAACATTTTTATCCCGTTTTTCATTTTATTTTATTTTATTTTATTTTTGATTTATTTCTTATCATTATTATTATTGCTTTCCTTCTCTTTTTATTATGTTTATTATTATTATTATTACTTTTACATATTGTTTTCATTTTTTTTTTGAAATCTAACATTTGCTTCTTTTGTCACATTTTTATTCTAATATTTTTTCCTTTGATTTGCTTATTAATTAATTATCATTATTTTTTTATATTTCTTTTTTGAATATTTTTAGTAGTAACATCGATCAATCAAAGGTAAGTAATTCGAATCGAATATTTTAAATTTTAATTTAAATTTCAATTTTCGCAATTAAAGACAACCGGTGAATTAATTGGTACCGAAAGGGTGGTTCAAGGGTGCTAATCCTTCCTTGACCGTAACCGACTCCCGAACCCAATACGTTTCTGGTACAACGCAGATCAAGTAAGATGGTGTCCGACCCACCTAAATTCGTTTTAAAGTGGTCGGTGACGACTCCAATCCACATTTTTCAAGTCGAAGCCCAATTACGGGCCCGACGGAAAGATGGTTGCGACAGTTATACATCTAAATTAATATGGAGAAAACATTAAGTATCTATTTTAACAAAAAAAAAATTAAGCACTTAAAGTTAACTTTAAGTATAGTCTTGATATTTATTTTTACATTAAATCTTTATAAAATTGTGTCGAGATATAGATAATATATTTGATTTAAATCTTGTAACATATATTTAGAATATAATATGATTTATAATTTAATTTAATTTAATAATAAATAAATAAATTTTAATTAAATATTATAATATAAAATAATTAAAAATATTTAAATTAAATAAAACAATAACCAATTGCCTCATGAAGGGATATTTTCCAAACTAAGGAAGTGTATTTATACGCATAACTGCGAGTAATAATTTTTACCCTATTTAATTATTAGATCAGATAACAGTCGACGCCAAGTCTCAAACTAAATTACCCTAGAAAAATATACACACAAAGCCGAGACAAAGTTGAAAAGCTGAAAATGGCTCAGTGCGTGTGGACAAACTTAAACCCTCTCCCATCCCCTCTAAGCTCTAAAATCCTAACTCAGAATCCCTTATTCTCAACAATCTCTTCCTTTGAAGCAAAACCCAATGCCAGAAAGTACCCCAAAATTCTCCTTTCGGTTAAGTCCAGCCAGGGACAACACGACATTCGAACGGCATCTCTCGATGCTATGCTCAACTCTGGTCGCAAAGAAGAAGTTTTTGGCTCCATAAAAGGCTCACTTCACAATTGTCTTTCGGAGACTAATCTTCAATCAACAGTCCCTGGTCTCAAATCCAAAACCAGAGGAAAGGTAGAAACAATGGGTTGCCTTTTCTTCTACCTTACATATTCAGCATAGTTGAGATTTTAAGTTGTGCGCCTTTTCTTAGCAGTTATCAAAGGGTGGTGTTAAAAAGATGCTATTTTTTTAAAAAAAAATTGGATTGATTTGGTGCAGGTTAGAGACATTTATGATACTGGGGATTATCTAGTTTTGGTTACTACTGATCGTCAGAGTGCTTTTGATAGGATTATTGCCTCTATTCCCTTCAAGGGCCAGGTTTTTGCTTGCTACTTTGTTAATGATAATATTAACAGCAGTAATTTAGAGGTAGTATCATTGTTGGAGTATCAATTTTCAGGTTCTTAATGAGACGAGTTTGTGGTGGTTCAATAGAACTCAAGACATAGTTCCTAATGCGGTTGTCTCAGTACCAGATAAAAATGTTACAATTGCCAAGAAATGTTCTGTCTTTCCCGTTGAATTTGTTGGTGAGTATCTTTGTTATTCTGCCCATTCATTTTGTTACATGGAGGTCGGAGGGTGTTTATTTGGTATAGAATTGTTTCACTGTTACAAACTTGAACTCTGAATTTCCTTGGTTATATTTCATGAGAGGAGCTATTCCAAAGTTCTGACTTTGGGTTATGAATTAAGTTCCACTCTATCAATTAAATCACTCAACAAGCTTTCCTTTGTTCATTCACAGCATGTAAGGTAGTGAAAGTGTTAACTTATAGTTTTAATATATTTTGAGGGTTGATTTTCATAAGTATGGAAGATAAAAACTTGTCGGTTTCAAATAGCTGTTGTCAAATTCTGTCCTTTGTCCAATAATGAAATCGAGATTTGGAATTGGTTTTGTATATAAGTTCATTGCTTTTCAAAGAGTTGTAGCAAATGGGAGATTGAAGTGCCACTGATTCAAAGAAAATTAAGTTTTTCATTTTTATTGCCTACCTTATCATTTGGAGTTATTGCATTCATCTGGTGCAATATCTTCTTCTTACCTTGATTTTGATGATATGCAGTTAGGGGGTTTGTGACCGGAAGTACTGAAACATCACTCTGGACAGTTTACAGAAGTGGAGTTCGGAATTACTGTGGAAATGTACTTCCAGATGGTGTGGCTTATATTTTGTTAAATCACTTTCTGTTCATTTGGAAATTGTGCTATATGATGGTGAAATGATATATTTAATACAGGGTTGGTAAAAAATCAAAAGTTATCTGCAAACATACTCACACCAACAACTAAGGCTGAAGATCATGATGTTCCTGTAACTCCTGAAGAGGTTGATCCTTTTCTTTCTCCTCTAAATTTTGACTATGAACCATATAGGGGAAGTATAGGAATAAGGCTCTTCCTTCTTCTTTCATCTTACTTCACTGTTTTCCTCTTCCCCACACTTCTGCACCTTAAACTAGGAAAGGCTCCAAAGAAAATGAGTTCCTGTTGGCTAATCTTAGTATTTGTTGATTGATGATTGTTCATATTCTGGATGAGTTATTTTAAATGATGCATTTTCCTTGCAGATTATTGAAAGAGGATTGATGACCCAAGCTGAATTTGATGAAGCAAGAGAAAAAGCTTTAAGTTTGTTTGAATATCGACAGGTGATTTAGGTTATGTTCATAAGCTTCATGTGCTTTCATGGTGTAATTCTTTTACGATACATGTAAGATAACATCAATCAACACACTGGAAATTCTTAAGATGAAATTAAGCGAATTATAGTTCATTATGTTAAAACTTAAAATACACAAGAAAGTTCATTAAAAAAAACAGAATAGAATCAGAAGAAAAACAAATATTCTATTGTACATTGGCGTTTGCTAGTTGCTTAGTGTTCTGTTAAACTTACCTACTTTTGTTAAAACCATATTATTACGACTCATGTCAAGCAGCATAGCATATTTACATCTATCTTTGGTGTTTCTTGTTTGTGCTTTCGACAACGAAACACTTTTGCTATATAAGTTATTAAAATTTTATGTATTATTTCATTATGTATTTCCACTTGTACTTCATAGAGCTTCATATTGACTACTGTACTGTTTAATGCAACTGACATATAATTTGTATGATTTTGTTGAAAATACAGCATGTGGCTTTGGTGCATGGCCTGATTTTGGTTGATACAAAATATGAATTTGGAAAGAGTAGTGATGGTTCAATTCTATTGATTGACGAGGTTAGATACCATTTTTCTGAAAGATTTTGTGCTTCTGCCTCTCTTTCATATACACTTCACACGCACATATGTAGGCATCTCAAATTCACACAAACTGACAGGGAATGGTGAATTTTGCATCTTGTTCTGTAATTTTAGGTGCATACACCTGACTCAAGTCGCTACTGGATTGGCAATTCTTACGTGGATCATTTTCATAATGGTCTTGAACCTCAAAATGTTGACAAGGTGCGTGAATATTATACAAGTCTGAGTTGATGTTTAAGGACCAATGGTTGGTATTATTGCCTACGCAATTGTGAGGTTTGTTTATTGTCAATTTTATGTTCCTTTCTAGCCAAGTAGTGGGAAAATTTTCTGAATTTTAATATGTGATTGTTTGTGGAATCTATAGGAGTTCTTGAGATTATGGTTTAGAGAGAACTGTAATCCCTATGAAGACAAGGTAAGTCATCAAAAAGTTCAATTATATTCTCTTCGATGTCTTTTACCTGATGTTATATTGTAAATCTCATTTAATTATGCAATCCTTAGGTGCTTCCTGATGCCCCTGAAGAACTTGTCTGCGAGCTTGCTTGGCGGTATGCTTTCCCTGTTATCATTCCTTTTAATTTGGCACAAAATACATGCCATTAAGAATTTAAAGAGAGAAGCAATAAAGAAGGCAATATCTTAAATCTTCTGATGTTATTTTTTATTTCTTCGTTTCTCTTGTCTCCCTATCAATTGGAAATTGGAATCCACTGTCACTGTTTTTGACCCTGTTTTATGATTGCAATGCTTTAATTAACCATTTGCACTGGTGTTAACATTACTACCAGATACATTTTCTTATACGAGTCGATAACAAAATCAAGATTCGATATGCCATTAACGGAGGTAAAACTTAGTTCTATGAATTATTTTCTATTGTTATTATGCAAAGCGGCAGGTGATTTTATTTTATTTCTTGCAGGAGCCAATACATGATCGGATCTCGCGAAATGTTTCTTCAGCATTATCATCTTTGCAGTAACTGAAGAAGATTGGACAAGATCTCATGATCCACCTTTGATAGTGGCTATAGTGAAACTTTGAATGAATTATTAATAGTTTAAATGTTTTTCAGCTGTGATTTTCTGGTGGCAGATGAATTTGGGGGTGGAAAACAAGATGGACTGCTCCGATGTAATGGCATTGCACACTTATATTGATTCTAAATCCATAATAATTAGCACCACCATTTCAATGAATTCAAAGGAGAATGACATTTTTGTCATTGGTCATTACCAATGAATAAATTACCATGAATCATGACAATTCAAAGCTCTGCTTGATATCCCTGGTCTTTACCAGGTATATACATTTAAGAGTTAAATGTTAATGTGCACTAGAAGGCCTGCAAGTCGCTCATACATTTCATATAGTTATATATATAGATGATACATGCCAATTCACCATATTTTACAAGTCTGCTGTTGTGGATCTTGTGGGGAGAAATCCGTGTTAGTATATGCTTGTTGTGGAACAGCAGTATCAGTTTATGAGTTAATATAGGTTTTACTCTTGAATTGAACACGAGTCCATATGCCTTGGTGATATCTGATTTCACAACAGAAAAATGAATAGTTTCTGCATGGACACTTGCTTTCAAATAAGTGCGACTGTCTAGTTGTTCATGAGTAATACATATCTTCTTTTATCATTTTGTTTGTTATTATTCCAAAATACTACAATTCACGATCCTTATGGACAGTCTTGAGTCGTGGTAATATGTGTCTTCGACATGTTCGCGTGGATACTATCTTTTTAGAGGATTTTTTCTTTGAAAGAAACAAATGGAAAATGTGAAAATTTTCAACTGATATTTATAGGCTGCTGATTTTTTCATGATTTATGAGAAAATTCCAGGGGTTACATGAGTTATCAGAAGTGCAATACCACCAGCAGTCCACTCCGGTTTTGAGTATACGAAATTCGGAGCGATCATGTTAATCTCGGGGGACGGTCGACCGCCTACTGTAGCGATTACACACATTGTGGCGAATTCGTTTATAAGGCAGTGGTTCTATCACGACACGGTTTACGAATCTGTTTCTTTTACATTATTGTTTATTTTTTCTATCAGTGTTAACGGTGTGGTTTTGTCGTTTCTATTTTACCAACATTGTCTTCTTACTGTTGGTTTAATAACGGAGTCGTCTTGCAATGTTGGTTTCAGATACTGACCAACGGGAAGTATAAAAGTCTGGTGCACCGAGCGCTGGTCAACAACAAGACCGCAAGGTTATCCATTGGGACAGCACATGGACCACCACTTGACACCGTCGTATGCCCCGCGAGGGAGCTGGTGACGGATGGCGTCGGCCCCGCATAGCTTGGTATCAAATATGGGAACTACTTGGAGCTACAACAAAGTAAAACTCTCAGCGGAATATCCTGCTTAGACCACCTCCGTCTTTCAATATGAACATGATATTCTAGCCACTATATTTATCCCCCACTTTATTTCGCGTGCCCCATTTTAATTCGTTCAAAAAATAAACAAAAGGTTATTTGGCACTATGTTACTCGAGTCGAATCATGATAATGTTTTCTCAATAATTGTGAAAAATAATTACATGTTCAACCTATTGTAATAATTGATCTAATTAGATACATTTTGTGAAAAAAAAGGTGATTTTATTCATATTTAAACTTTCATTATACGGGACTTTGATTATACGTAACGTTTGGCTCAAATTTAATAGTAAAGGATATTACTTGGACGACCTACATGATTTAATGGAATATTCCTTGTATCTTGTTACATCTCATCTCAAAATGTTGATTCCAAAAAGCAAGGTGACTGGTAGATCCAATTATGGAGGGACTTCCCTTTCCGGGAAATCTGATAAGTAATTACCGACCAGATGCCAAATATAGTTTCTTTTTGTAGCGAAAAACACGACGGTTGACGAGATAAAAGTTAAGTTTTTTTTTATGTAATTGAAAGTATTCATGGTTGCAATAAATTAACGTCCTTGTATAAACTAACTATTGTTTTCTCTTATCACACTAGAATTGTAGTATTTTGGCACCCATCTTTTGTTCTTTTTTCTTTGTTTCAATGGGGTACCGGGAAAACATAAGGATCGTGTTCGGTAACCTTAAAGATAAGGGATCATTGATCAAGACTGTTTTATCAATAAATCCTCACAAATCTTTGGTTCGTACCGTGATTCTACGCGCCACCACCCACGGCTCATCCTCCCTACCGTAGGAGCATCAAATAGCTGCTATTATCTCCCTCTGCCTTGAATCACAAGCCGGTGCATGCTCTTGCATCCAAGCTCTCATGGATCGACTAAATGGAACGAGTGACGCCTTTGTTGCCCTGAAATGCCTCTACATTATTCATAACATTATAAGGAAAGGGTCCTTCGTATCAAATGATCAGCTCTCGATGTATCAATGCTTTGGGGGTCGAAACTTTCTCGACTTACTGATGTTTCAAGATTATTCAGATCAAGAAACGAGGCAAATGTCCGAATGGGTTCGGTGGTACGCAGCAATCTTGGAACAAAACTTGGCGGCAGGGCCGTGGCTAGGTATAAAGGGGCCCTGTGCAAATTTTTATAAAGGGACTCTTATTTTCTAGATATATTTGATTTCGGGATTCTTAGTTTTATGCTTCTTAATAGCAATAACTGATAGATATACTCGATTTTGGAGCCTCTATTTTTATGCTTATTAATGGCAACAATTGATAGATATATTCGATTTCAGGGCTCCTATTTTTATACTTATTAATAACAACTAATAGATATATTTGATTCGGAACTCCTATTTTTTGGGAGCCCTACGCGATCGCACACCTTGCGCCCCCTCAGCCACGCCCCTGCTTGACGGTTCCCAAGGTCCTAGCTAGGTTATCACCTTTATAGTAATAAAAAGACAAGATCTTGAGTTCGTTGAACTCAGATTTACTCAAAGAGATCGATGTTCTTGTTGAGTTTGCGTGTCAGGTAGGAAACCCTTCTGATTCGCTTCATCTTCAACGAAACTCTTTGGTGTACGAGGTTGTAAGATTGGTCGACGAAGAATACAGATTAGTCCAACATGAAATCGGTTCTCGAGTCGAGGAACGAATGACGAGTTTGAGTCTCGGCTAATGCACTCAATTTCTAAATTCATTAAACCGATTCGGGGATTGTAAGGAGAGAATATCTTCGCTATTTTTTAACAGGAACATGAACGCTGGTTTGTGGGATTTGGTGAAAGAAACCAAGGCAGAGCTTGTAGCATTGATAAAAGATAAAGAAAATGTTGGAAGAAAAAGTAAAAAATGGGGGCTGGATTTTTTCAGAAATTGGAGGCACCAGCTTGAGTTTTCAATAATGGGGAGCATCGATTCGGTGCCCCAATTTTTAATTAAAATGTTTTTGGGTTAATTATATTTTTAGCCACTGCACACTTTAGGATATTTACAAGATTAGTCCCTAAGCTTCAACTATAAATACCCTATCCCATTTAGCTTCAAAATCATCCCAAAAATCATTTCTTCCTCCCAATACTAGAGAGTTTACTTGTGAGAATTGAGTGTTTTGTAAACGCCTGTAAATTTTCTGTCTTAGTAAAAGATCTGCAGTAGTCCGGAGACGTAGGCACAATTGGCTGAACTCCGTTATCAATTTTTCGGGTATTATTTTTTCGCTTTTATTTCGCATTCTCACTAATCTGGTTATAGGAAAATTACTCGTTCTCTTTTATTTCCCAACACTAGTAATCAGAGCTTTTGGTTGTGAATTTTGTCAATTTTTACGAGGTTACTATTCATTACCATTCATGTGAATAGTGAAATTTTGTTGGCGATACGAATTTGTCGACGGAGGTGTTCTAATACACGACGGTTCGCAAGAATTGTCAGAAACAATCCAAACGAAGCCAGATTCGAGTGGGAACGATGGCTGCAGACGAAGGGAAGGTGAAAATTGATAAGTTCGATGGTGCGGACTTTGGCTTTTGGAAGATGCAGATTGAAGATTTTCTGTACCAGAAAAATCCATATTAACCTCTCTCAGGAAAGCAACCAGAGGGCATGAAGAATGAAGACTGACCTCTTCTCGACAGACAAGCCCTCGGAGTTATCCGACTGACGTTATCCCGTAATGTTTCTTTCAACATAGTAAAGGAAAAGACCACGGCAAGTCTTATGACGACTCTCTCTAGTATGTATGAGAAGCCATCGGCCTCAAACAAAGTTCATTTGATGAGGCGATTATTCAATTTGTGGATGGCGGAAGGGGCATCAGTGGCTCAACACCTAAATGAACTCAACACAATCATAACCCAATTGAGTTCCGTGGAGATTGAATTTGATGATGAAATTCGAGATTTAATTCTCTTATCATCTCTACCAGACAGTTGGAATGCTACTGTTACAACAGTTAGTAGCTCATCGGAAAATAGCAAATTAAAATTCGACGATGTTCGGGATATGGTACTGAGTGAAGAAATTCGACAGAGAGAATCGGATAAAGCATCAACCTCCTAAGCCTTGCACACGGAGTCTAGAGGGATAACTTCAGAAAGAAATTCAAATCGTGGCAGATCCAAATTCAGAAGGGGAAAATCAAGAACGATAAAGAAATATTTTACCTGTTATAACTGCGGCAAGAAGGGTCACCTTAAAAGAGATTGACGAGCACCGAAGAAAAATACCGGCGCACAAGAATCTGTCAACATGACAGAGGAGACAGATGATGCCATGATTTTAAGCGTCAACAGTCCGATTGAATCATGGATCTTGGATTCAGGGGCATCTTTCCACTCCACCCCATGCCAAGAAATCATGGAGAACTATGTCAGTGGTGATTTTGGGAGGGTTCATCTAGCTGATGATGAAACTTGATGATCGTCAGAAAAGGAGACATCCGATTAAAGCTACCAAACCAGACCATCTGGAAGTTGACATGAGTGAGACATATTCATGGCCTCAAAAGGAATTTGATTTCTGTAGGACAGCTTGATGGAGAAGGATATAGTACAACCTTTTCAGGCTGTGAATGGAAGATTACCAAAAGCGCACTCGTCATTGCTCTTGGTAAGAAGACTGGTACTCTCTATGTAACCTCAAACTTAGAGAATATCATTGCTGCAGCAGATGCTGATGGAAAATCAAACCTATGGCACCAAAGGCTTGGCCATATGAGCGAGAAATGGATGAAGACACTTTTGTCAAAAGGGAAGCTACCGGATTTAAAGAATGTAGATGTCGGACTATGCGAGGATTGCATCTTT